ACCTATTAATGTATTATTAGTTACAAGTAATGATTAAGGTTTGTATTTCACTTACATTTCCCTTGGAACCTTTGTAAACCTTATTTATGTGTTGATCAACCTTGTCATTAGGGGCAACAAAGACATCATTGTAGTAGBTATCTCTCTTTCGTCTAAGATAATATGCAACATCGAATATGTTACTGATCAGAAAGTACTGCATCAAAGCTTATTAATAACTGTACTACAAAAAGACACATTAGGTACATATACTTGTATATTTGAAATAGTACTTAAAATAAAAAAAGTACTGTACATGTAATTGGTTTATGCTTCACACTATTCATACATATTACATGAAATACAATATAACTTACGGTCTTGCAGATTTAAATCGGTATAGTTTCATGTTGCCATCAACATGTACTGAGTGTTGCTTTTCACTACAAGCAGGGCATTCCATCCAATTGAACATTTTCAGCTGGTTCAATTCATATTGGCAGAATTTCCACTCTTTAAAAGCKGTYCTAAAAGTTGTTTTGTTTATCYTTGAAACCTTGGCATAAAATTAATGGCATATTAGCAATATTACATTTGCAACAAGACATGAAATACAACTATTCAGCTCTAGAGGACATGGTTTTCTTTTTTCCCAATGCACCTACATGTACTTAGTTAGATGTACAAGTTATTTATATAACTTGTACATCTAACTAAGTACATGCTTATGCATAAGCATCATGAATATAAGTAATCTTAAAATATCTTATTAAAGACCTTAATAGGCTGACACATCGACATACCCGTCCATTATGTTTGGAAGATTGTTCTAATGACTTCAGAAAAGAGGCTTCTGATATGCCAGGAACTAAGCTCTTGAGTTCGTGCCATAATACAAACAAATTTGGGTCGAAAATATAATTGACGTTTTTGATGCTTCCTGGCCAATATCCAAGTTGAAGAACTACATCTAGGGATGAGCTTGGATATTCCTTCTTGCAATTTTTGCATGCATACCTGGTATGCATTATGTCAAACCTCCCTATAAAATTCAAAACGGAAACTAATTAATACTACATGAAGATACATGTATCAAAAAGAAATGTTCCATAACCACAATCAAGGTATAATTTACAATTATAATTTTATAATATCAAATGCAATTATTACTTATGGTGATTCATATGTGCATCTAGGGACATAAAAACATCTTTTGCTGTGATCGTGTAAAAATATGTACTTTATCATGTGCTTTAAGGAAAGYATTTTTTGGAATTTGGACCTACATGTATYATTTTCTTTTTCTGAGGGTAGACCTTTCAATTGAATCAACCTGCCACTGCCCCATCCTATGCTTAATGACATTAATGGTTGCATAAAAATATATATATTTACCTTTGATTGAAACAAAAATTGCATTGCCACTTTCACTTTCATTAACAAGCTGGCAAATGATGTTACAGTCGGGACAAAATACCTCACCAGAAGGTAGACATCTCTCTAAAAGATAAAAACTTATCAGCATCCACTGTTAATAGTGAATMCTAATAGTTATGACATTGAAAAGAGTCAACAATACTAAAAACTTATATATACAAGTCTTAKCAATGTCGATCAGCTTGTCACATGATGTACTGAATGCTACTGTTGGTGGGATGGCTTTATAGTGACCATCAATAACACCCAGTCTATCGTGCAAAGGGTGGCTATGATGAACAGTTACATCACAGCTGGCACACAAGTGTTTCTTTGAGCCACACTCTTCGCATTTGATGATGGCTGGAGCCTTTCTGCAATGGCAACATTCACTCTCAAAAACACCATATCTTCGTTTTAGTAGAATTTCCGTAATTCTACTACGGGATGCCTCCCAGCTCTCATTTGCAG